CGCTGCAAAAGGTCCGCCTGATTCGACGCGCTGGAGTGCAATCCAGGAGGCCTTTGGGGCGTTGAAGTCACCTACCAGCAGGAGATGAGTGGAATGGTAGTTGGGGTGAAATGGTAGTTCCATCACCTCGCACGGCAAGCTAGTGAGCCTTCTAGACCTGTAGCTTTCGAGCGATATTCGGTCATCAATTTTGTAGATTGGCGTGACTATCGCTTTCTTCCAAGTGGAGGGAAGGTGGCCTTCGTCATGCGACTGACGAAACACCAGGTGTAGATGGTTTGCCAGTGTGGAGGACGTTTCGTTAAGGATCCTTCGATGGACCTCTACGGGCATCAGCGCGCAGAGTGGGTTGATCTTGTGCAAGAGTTGATGAATCTCCTCCACCGTGAAGACCATGTCGGTTGGAGGCTGTTCATAGTTCCGCCTTGACAAGTGTGGATATGATGTGGGCGCTGGGGCTAAATATAGACCTGCAGAATTTTCTCTGTAAACCTCAGATACCACTGTTGGGTCACTCGTGGGCTCTCCTTTCCTGTCCCCGAAAGAGAACGCTCAGCCTCATTCTGCTAGTGATGCGCCCCTTCACCATCTTTGCATTATCATAGTGAGTGAAAATTCTGCCGAGTGTTTCACTAGGGCCAGGCGTTTGCAGCAAGCATTGATAAAGCGATCGTGTATGCATACAGTAAACGGATCCCAGCTGGACCGAAGAACCAGCCACCGAAGAGGTGGCTCTCGCGGCTGGTTTTGTTGTCCGTCGTTTACATAAGATTATCTGGAGCTACCTAATCACCCCGTTATTGAACGGAGACATCTTTTTTAATTTTTGGCCGAAGTGCTGACAGTTCTACCCAAACGGCATGTCGTCTTCAAGTTCGAGCACTCATCTATTGTTAACTTCCGGTATCATTGCACAAATTACTTCGCCCGAGTGTATGCGACGTGGCGCCTGATCGGTGACTACACTATCTCGGGGAGGACGCCGTATTTGCGTTGTCAATCGAAGGCCGCACAGGCTAGCATCTGCCCCAAAATATCTTTATCCTAACATTGGCTGCATCCGATATCTTACGTCTGACTGCAGCTGGTATGTCAGCTCAACACAGAGACCAACTTTTGAAAGACGGTAGACGACTAAGTCTCTAGTCTACGGTCCCCAACGGCTTTTCTCTATCCTGCCTTCCCTGTCATTCTTGAACGGCCGTCTGGTGGTTGGAGGACGGGTGATGTTGCCACGTTCCCTGCATTGTCGACATCCAAGACAATTTGATTCATGACATCAAGGTATCAGTCGGATGAAAAAGATAGTTCCTAGCTTTGCTCACTAGTAACACATGAATCGCTATGTACCGGGTCCAGTCAACGCGTTGCATTTTCCTGGTTGATAATAATATTGGGGTTGCACTTCAGCATTGCTAATTTGATGTTCCCATATCACTTGTGCGACGATTCGAAGGTACTGGTTTCTGGCGTGTGGGGTGTAGCTACCCTTTCGCCACATACATGATTGTACAGGTCATCGCCACTCGCTGGACCATGAGAACTATTTTTTTTCCTGCACTCAAATCACTCCACACAACCGCGACCCATTTGACTACACAGCTCACAGTCAGGCCCTCGTTCTCAAGACTCGTCCTGCCGCCACTACACATACAATTTACGGCCCACAAAGGTGAGTCATCTGACATCGACGGTCTACCAGCCGACAAGGTAACGGCAAGCCTTGTGCTGACACCCAGGCACACACAGACGTTCCTAAATATAGGACAACACCACAACAATACGACACAACTCAACGCAGCTTCGCACGTCACCCAACTCGCAGTAGAGCCGCTTGGGACTTACAACGCCTCACTCACGGATATTCAGGACTACGTGTGGCCACTACAACGGCGCAGAAAATACGTAACCTGCATCCGTACTCACAAAAGGATTTATCAACTCGCATCGGCAATACGATAAGTCCCTTTGTTCACTTTTTACACTATTGTAATAACTTTTCCTCAACAAGCTGATATCATTAATGCTCGCAGTTTTCTTGTTTGTATAACTAGTTCTCAGGACCTCTTAGAGCATTAACATGGGGTACCGTCAGGCATGATCTTTTTGGACAGGATGAAATCAAGGCTGCTTGTGGGTGATAAAATGCACGGGAGTGGGGAGATCGTCAAAATAATGGATTAAATCCGATGCGAATTAGCCCATGCCTAAACAGCACGATCTTAGTGCGGTGGACATGGACTGAGGAGAAACGCATTTTTTGGATTTTTTATACTTTTGAAAGAAGGTATCAAATTGAGGCAAGATCAGATCGTCAGAATCCGAAGATGGCGGATAAGGTAACGCGGGGAAAGACTAAGGAATCCTGCATAGCAATTGCGGAATAATAAGGAAAATGATAATTAAAATGAGGCAAAAAGGATAATGAAAAAATAAGGGAAAGGAAAAACTGGACGAAAATTAGAAAAAATGTGGAAAAACAATGAATAGATAAGATTATAAGAACAACGAAGCTGGAAGCCCAATAGCTGTATCTGGGTCATGCAGAGAACACCACGCAGTTCCATATTCAGTCCCAGCGTCCTCATCACATCCGATCTTGCCAAGGCGGCCTCTTGTTGGCCTATAACCGGTCTGGGGTTCACGGAGGGGTACCTTCGTTAACCACTGCATAAGGTAAACACTTTCTGCTCGTTTAGGCAAGACGAGGTCCATCCAAGGTTCCTGATCCAAAGCCTCCTAATTTATCTGATTGCAGTTTCGCACGGCTGACGCCAAGAATCTGGCCACATGTGCAGCAGACTTTTGGCTGCTGTCAGAAAATACATGTTAAATCGCTGCATCAACTCCATAGTTCTAAGCATCCGACACCACATACACCTACAGACAGGAATCGTAGTTGATGAGTT